AAAGGTACGTCGTTACGCTTTGGCTTGTCATGTGGCATGGACTTACTTCAACGTCCTCGTGTGGCGTAACAGCTCTTATGGGTCCAGAAGCTTTGGATCAGGACAAACGCTCCAAATTGAAGGCCGTCAAGCCCGATGGCGAATCATGCGGTAGCAATCTCAAGTTGTATGCCGCCTATTTGGCGCCTACTGGATCACGGTGCCTGTTGAGTCTTCAGGACGCCAAGTCAGTCCAAGGATGTCACGTTGTGCCGCGAAGGACCGACGACGATACGGTAAGTAGTCAATACTTCTTGATGATGCCAGTGTGACCATGCCTCGGATGCGTCCGCGCATATAGTGTGCGAGAGTGGCGGCGTGGTGGGGGCTTGATGAGTTCGACGTCGACTCCCCTTTCAATATCTTCTTATGTGAGTGTATATCCCCAGGTTGTTCGACGTAGCCCTGATCCAGACTCCATATAGTGAGAGCCGATATACACTGCTTGTGGGACCAAGGGCATCTCATGTTCGTGCCTGAGCCTCATATTGTCAAAGATCATCTCGCACGATCTATTGTCCCCATAGGTGGTGCCTCGGTGAGTACAGAGACATGGGCTAGACTGGTATCTTGCTCACGGTGCTATCCAGTCGCTAGCCGAGCTATTTGCAGCGTCCGATGTCCCCGTCTACAGATATTGTGTCGTTGCCCATCGCGACCTTCCCGAGACAGAGGAGAGCGCTGCGTTTCCGAGGGATATCAAGATCTTGGGCTATGTGGAATCCCCAATTCCTCCCCAGCTCGTTATATACAAATGGGGGGTTGATCCTGTCGAAGAGTGGACTAAATGGGTTCGAAATGGCTCTAGATGCCTTCTACAAGCGCCACGGAGTCGATTATGAAGCGATCGAAGTTCTTCGTAATATGCTGGCTCTCTTCAAACGATACACAACCAAAAATCCGGCCGGCGAAATTTCGCGTCTCACTACCTAAAGTGACCTTTCGCTCTAGCTGTCTTAATCGGTGCGTTGGCTGTATTTCTCCATACCCCCATCATAACGAATATGAATTCTAGGCAGAACCAAGAAATCCACGTGTTTCTCAGTCGAAGCTGGCCCGAGAGTGATAATCAGGATGTTTACAGCCCCATTAAGGCTCCAACCATTTCATTTATATAAACTGTATATGCGTTTACAGCTGTTTACTTTATACGTTTATTTACGGTCAGTGCGTAGACAGTACTGATGTGCAAGGCCCGGCCCGGCCCGGCCTGAAAGCCGGGGCTACGGCCTGGCTTGAGGCGGCTTGGGCTTGCCAAAATCTCAGGCCGGGCCTTGATAGACGGCTCAGGCTTGGCCCGGCCCGGCTCAAGCTCAGGCCGCGGCTTGTTAGCAAGGAAGTGTGTTTATGTGGACGAGCAATAAAGCTTACCATTGTTATCAGTGATTTCGAAGACATCAACTCGAGCCTCCTCTGTCTCTGTAGTGTATCCCAGACCACCTTGAAGAAGCTCGATCTCAGTGGTAGGTAATATATCAAAGCAGTGTTCAAGGAGCGCACCTGAGTCACTGAATTGATAATGTTTACTGATGGTTCTGCTGTGTCCAAAGTATCAGCAAGCCTTCGCTGCCGGACATCTTGCCCAGAATCTCATCACATGTAGTTATAAGCTTCCATATTTAGAGATATAATACTTACATAAGTACTGAACAATATTGCTACATATGGTAATATTCCAAAGCCGGCTCACGGGTCGGCCTCCACTGGGGGCAATCCAAGATTTCCGCTCTCCGAATATTGTCCAGAAATCCAACGAAGTGTAGTAAATAAAGATTGAATACCTGACTTCCGAATATCGAAAGAAAGCCATAAATAAGTGCCGCATATTCGGAGCTCCGGATATGGCAGCAAATATATTACATAATTGTCACTCGTTTATAGACTATGATATCCATTAAATGTTTTGCACCAAAACATTGTACCGATAAATATAATAACTAAGGGATATTTGTGGACCAAATACAGTATAGATTATTACTGGTATTCCAAGCACGGATATCGCTTATATATTGGCTGAAATAGGTTAATCGCCCAGTGTATGCCATTTCTAGTCAGCAGATCGGCACGGAATATGGTTTCTATGCCTTACACCATCCGAAGCTTCAATTGTTGATTACATATCTGGGGAATATCTGTGCTGTAGGTGCTGACAATCTTTCACAATGTAACCAGTCCACAAATATTCCCTGATTATTATATTTATTAGTACAATGTATTGACGCAGAATATTCAACAAATATTGTGGCTCATATTCGAGGAACAATTATGTAATATATTTGCTGCCATATCCGGAGCTCCGAATATGCGACACTTATTTATGGCTTTCTTTCGATATTTGGAAGTCAGGTATTCAATCTTTATTTACTACACTTCGTTGGATTTCTGGACAATATTCGGAGAGCGGAAATCTTGGATTGCCCCCAGTGCTCAGCTTTCACAAATTGCAGGCCGGGCCCTGAGCTGCCATAGGCTGCTTTGCCAGCCCGGCTTGGCTCGGCCCACAGAGCTCGGCTCGGCCCAGCTTGAGAGATGGAACGAGCTGAGTGCTAATCTGCATCTGATGACAATTCAAGTGGGTCGTGAATTCATCAAGCGACCACTCCACTACAAACATTTGTTACCTATAGACGCTCTTGTGCATATACCCATCATCACACTTGTCCACCCAGATGCAGTTGAGCTGGTCTCCCCTCACATTGATCAAAAATTGCCAATCGAAGACATCCCCTGCCCGCGGAAGCGAAAACAGAGCCCGGACACAGAGACTGATGAAGCCCCTGACAAAAGAATGTGAATGTTGGTCCCTACAAGTGAGGCGTCCAAGGTCGAGGATGGTGTTCTTTTCAGACCCCACCCGCGGTGCATGATCACCGGCTATGTATCTGCTGATGTAGAGGGGTGCTATATCTGGCCTCTAGACATGCCTCAGTGATTGGTGAGTAGGTATGGCTGTTATTTTGGCTTTTTTGACTGACAACATGAATTGGAAGATCGATAATTTGATTACCAACATGTGTGGCAACTACCACACCGTGCGTTGTCATGCACCTGGGAATTTTATGTTTCGTGAGCAATTCCCACGTTTGACCCGTCATTTGTCGCCTCACATATTGTAAGCAGTTCGACGTGATCTCCGAGAGCTGTGGGAAACAAAGCATTTGTTGATGATACCCTATCCTGATCATTTGAAGAAGCTCGAATATCGCACTGTATGTATCAGTATGTCCTCTTGGCCAATCACCGCGCTTACGGTCATGTAGGTGTACAAGTATTGTGTCATTGCAGAGGACGAGCACCCTTCAGACTCATGTGCGACAATGGGTAACCCCATCACGCCTTCCATCATGACGGACCCTTGTTCATATTGATCGCTCGGGTGGCATGAGTTGAATGCCAATATCGGTCGCATGGTATTTCGAGCGGGACAGAAATTGAGCAAGCAACCCTTCCACTACTAGCATATCTTGCGGTATCTGCTGCCCCACAAGGAGGTCAATCATACACACAGCATAGTCTCCCAGTATAAGTTGTGGACGGCCCCCCTACGTCGCGAGGCAGTACGCGGCAGGCGGCTGTGAGCGACAGACAAGCTCACACCCTTGCCTGATGGTTATTTCCGCTGCTCCTTGAACGAATATTGCCCTCCCCTGTTGGATGATGACGCCTTCTGCTTTGCTCGCCCATTTCGGCCAATCGTGTCAGGGATAAAGAGGAAACGATCTGGCGACACCAGGGCGGACATTGAAGTCTATACCGTGCGTAAAGATGCTCAATGCGAGGTTAGCATCCGTAAGTGGTGCTGGGATTGCGATCGGGCTCGAGACGAGTGGATGATGGGACCGTCTGCGGAACCTGAGGACACAGAGTTGCTCGCTTATCGACAGGAGGAAGCCAGCAATGTGCTGCCTGCTGCGCAAAAACCTTGGTTGGTGGAAAATTATTTTGCAAAGTACATTCTCTGGTAGATCTGCAGGTGACAGTGTAGCTGACGTCATCTCGTCCGAACTGAAATGTTCCAGATACGGCCCGAGTCTTGACACCTATGTTGAAACGCGCTGACCTGCGTGGTCAGGAATGAGCTCGCAAGCTCGGGCGCACGAGTAGCTGGGGGCCGGAGGCCCCTATTGTAGTATATAATGACCCCGCGCAATGTACGTACTGCATGCGATTGTCCCTTATGGGCATCGCTAGCTCGTGGACAAACACGCTCACCATGCCGTCGCACCGGTTGTTCCAACAACCTAGCCATATACCCCATCTTACTGCATTTACACGTGCTCACCTGTAAGACCTCTCACTCAGCCCAAGGTACGCTGCACCAATCTCTATATTGGAGATGTGCAAGTACCAGGGTAAGAGTAAGTGTCGGGCGCCTTCCTGTACGCCTGTCCTTTTAGGGCAAGGTATGTAGGCGCCTTCACGTGACATACATGACTCATGATGTACATTATAGTAATTAGTATAGTAAGTAATGTGCTGCGTTACATCGCCAGGTCATGAATATTCAGAATGGTCTGTTGAACAATTGAACCTCATTGACCCACTATCGCGATTGGAGCTTCTGTCATCATGTTGATATACATGTGGCAATGGGCCAATACTGAGATATCCGATCCGCACGAATGAGCCAGATGTGCTGCTGCTCCATGCATGGTGATTGTTACCAAGGGGCAGGATGTACACTTGCACTGAAGCACATCACGTTGTCCTGGTCCCCTCATTTTCAGTCGGGCTATCAGCTGCATCTCAGATTTTCTTTCCGGCCGCCACAGTAACTATATGCGTGGTCCTTGCGAGATGCCCGACAATGTCTTCCAGCCATCGGTGCATACCACCTTACCTCCATAAAAACATCTGGTGTGTTCAATGCATGTCCTGTCTTGTTCTGTTCACTGATGATCGGCACACAGGTTCTGGTTCTTCAAGTAATGACTCCCTCACAACATAGCTAAACACTGTGTAACTGCCAGACATTAAGATTGACTTGGCTTTTCAAACTGTGTGTGCTTAGGATACTCGAGGAGAGTGGGCTGTGCTACTTCACAATTACTAGCAGCAGCATGACATATGACCTGAACGTGTGAGACAATATACTTGTATGTGTATCCGATCACGCTTCGATCTCGGTGACTAACACAAGGGCAGTTTAGGCCCTACATAGACCAGCCCTTGGGTGTCGGCTCTTTGTATGGGAATCTGTCATCTTCAGCCAACAGGAAGCGGCGGTTGATCTGTGGAATTTGGAAACTGCAAGCATGTGCTGCTGATGGTGATCGTTTCCACAAACCACCTTCTCCAACCCTCGATTCCGCAACTACCATCAGTGGATTCTAGTCCGTGGATGAAATCGTAATTTCTCCTCTGTTGTCATGATCAGGCATAACAGCTGATGCCACTTAGCAGAAGCCGTAGCCATTACAATCCAACCTTCTCTGCGACCATCAATCCCACAACGGACTGATGGTACGTTCTTTCATGTGCGTTAATACTCCACCTCACACGAGGTTCAGGATCTATCGCTGCAATACCCAAACCACATGTTGTATGGTCAGCACAATCCGTCAGCATCTCTTAGCCATGCGCAAAATTCAACTCATCCTATTGACCGCCTCAGATACCTCCTCATGTTATCATTAGCAGTCGCATCTGCTCATCAGTCGTAAGCTGCCAAAAAGATCAGGTAAGAAACATATCTGATGGGCTGCACACATGTTTCCTGACTCAGTTCCACGGCTAGATTGGGGTGTGCTACGAGGATGGGACCAGCACAACCTTGCGTGGCAGCTCAGTCGAACTGTGGTGTTGCACTCATATATAGGCGACCACCACTGAGTCTGGGGTTTTCTGGTCAAACCTGTAGTTTTTCCTCACCACTGGCATGAAAAATATGCTATAAGAAGGCAATTGATACAACGGTCTATACTCCTATATTGATGCCTGACTCGTAGACAACGAGCGAGGACTTATGGACAGTGCGTCGTCCTGAAGATCGAGCGAGGAAGTCGAGAATGACCACTACCCCAAGCGAGGAGGAGCAGAGACTTGAATGAATAACCAGGTCGAACTTAGGGTTCGACCGACTAATGGTACAACTACTTATACAAGTACCGACTGCGCACGGACCATCGTGTCTATGTGGTCGTGTTAGTGAAGAAAGAAACGTAGTGGTACGATACCAGGCACGAAGTGCGCACGGACCCCATTATGTAAGCTACATAATGTTCAACCTGCGGGTGAGCGCTAAGACAGGCGCCAGTATGGGCGCTAGTAGTACAAGGAATAGAACAGAAAGACAAATGTTTCATTACCCCCCTACCAGAGTCGAAGTCCCATTCGACTACTTACTGCTCACCGTCTCCATACAACTCCCAATCTACGCCGTCGTCCTCC